CTTGAATAGGACGCCCTTCAGTTTTTAGGGTAAGGATTTTAGAAAAAAGTATCGTCTTATAGTTGGAAAAATACGGTAATTTGAACACATGTTTGCCTGCTTCAGGTTTTGGGGAACAGCCCCTAATGTCATTTATTAGGGTTTAACATACAAGTCCAGTGACAGCTGCTCAGTCCTTGGAAGACCATCCAAATGAGGTCCCCTTGCTAAATTATTTTGGGGAAAGATTGAAAATCCTTTTATTTAGCAGAATTTGATGGGTAATTATCTGGGTTTGGTTGTTCCTTCTCTTTTAAGCTGTTCTAGTGCCTTCGTGTTATGTCATTTTATACCATGATTATCTTATGGGATGTTATTCCTGAACATGTAATTAGATTTACTTGGTATATCCTTTTGGGTGTACAAATAAAGGAGGGAAATAAACAGCTCATTAACAAATGTATTAATTATATTTATGACTTCTACATTTAGTAATACTCAGATGCAAATCTTGTCTGCCATGTCAGCTTAAATATAATTATGAATTTAGCAAAGAACAAAAAGGAAAGAAGTTTGACAGACCGGACCATGAGACCACAGAATGAAAGGGTTGAAAGGGAGCTTGGAGATAATCTAGTCCAACCCTCTGCCCTTTGGAGAATCTGCTACTGTGGAACCCAAAACAATCTGGCTTCTGTTCAAATGCCTTCAGTGAAAACTGCCATAAAATTTACTCTTCACCTTAAATCCATAAGATGCACCTCAGATCTGATATTTTTAACATGTTTTAAAACATGATAACTTAATAAGTTATGATCAAGAAGGAAAAGATCAGCAATAACATTCATAAGTCTTGCACTCTGAAAACATGTGAAGCTTCGTGTCGAATGCTGAATGTGGATTTTTACTGTCGTGCCTTTTTAATTTCTGAACGACTGTATTTTTTACAAGGCTGTCATTCACAGGAGGGCTATACATTTTATCGATAATGATGACAATGACAGTAGAAACTCTACTTACTATAATTAGCAAGATAGTCACTCTGGGTTCACACCAATCACATATATTGGTTCCCTTTAACTTTCAGAGCCTTTTTTCTAGCTTAATATCTTGGATGAACCCAGTTGTTCCATTATTAGTTTACCATTCAATGTGTTCTGCAAATGCAGAAAATGAATTAATTGAGGAACCTGCGTGGAGGAATGCAGAGATAAGGTTGGCGAAGTTGTGCAAGGACTATTAGCAGATCAAAGAGACAGGAAATGACTTCTCAGCTTTGGAAAGGAGGGAGCATGAAAAAAAGATTTCAAAGCTTTGATTCTGAATGCTGTAAAAGTAGATAGAGCCGTGTTTCTCAACCTTGGCAAGTGGAAGATGGGTGGACTTCAACTCCCAGAATTCCCCAGCCAGCATACCCTACAACAATGAAGTAGAGTTTTGGTAGTCCATGCCACATCTTCAGAGACCTGGCCCTCCTTGAAGAGCTGACATCATGTTGGAGCATAGTATATGAACCTCATAACTGACTTCCATAGAACATAACCACAATCAAATGCAGACAGACGTTGAATGGGTAGACCACAACTGATGTTGAATGGGTAGACCACAACACAGAGTAGATCGCCCTTAATAACATGGGTGTTCTGGGCCACCTATGGAAGAATTTGTATGATGGCTGTGGAGTAACAATTAAAATGGAGTATGGAGCAACTAAAAGGGAAAGGAATGTGCTAAGGTTGTCTTAGGGTCACTTTATGTGCACAACACATCTTGAGAAATGCTGGACCAGAAGAAACAGATATTGGAATTAGAATTGCTGAGAGACGTATCAACAGCCTCTGTGCTGATGGTACCACTTTAGTGGCTGGAAGCAAGGAAGACTTAAAGAATCATGTTGTAGATGAAAGAAGGGAGCAGAACCTGCTCTGTTGCTGAAACTTAAAAAAACAAACTAAACAAACAACCCCCCCAAACTAAGATTATGTAAACAGGTGTTGCCAATCCAAAGCAAGTAACGGAAGTAGTAACAGACTTTAACTTCCTAGGGTTTAAAAAAAAAAAAATTCACAGGGCTATAACCATGAAATGAGACATCTGCTACTTGAGAGAACAATTATGAAATATCTAGACAAAATATTAAAATGCAGAGACACCACACTAGCACAAAGATGCATATTGTCAAGGTTATGGTTTTCACAGTTGTAACATATGGCTGTAAAAACTGGACCATCCGAAAAACTGAATGAAGATAGATGGTTGCCTCTGAATTGTGGCGCTGGAGAAAAGTAGAATGAATCACAAAGCCTGACTGGTCACCGGCAGCACTGATAACAAAGCCAAAGCTTAAATATTTTGAACACATTATAAGAAGACAAGAGTCATTGGAGATGAAACATTCCTGATTGTTGGAAAAATCAAAGGCCAATGAAAAAGAGGCTAATAGAAGACAAGGTGGCTGGATAGTATTTCTGAGGACATAAGGATGAGCTTTCAAGAATTCAAAGAAGTGGTCACTGGTAGAAAATCCTGAAGAAATGATGGCCACAAGTCACAAAGATGAATAGGCAACTGAGTGACTGAACCCCAACAAATACCTGCAGGCTTTTATCTGATTCTTCTGCTTGAAAATTAGGTTTTCCATTGCTCAATATAAAGCAGTCCATCACTGGAATTTGGTCTGATTATTTGTATCTGTTTGTATGGCTTGCTCTGTACGGAAAGGAGGACACCAGAAAGCCCACAAGATGGCACTCTGGCTTAACCTGAATTTCACTCCCAACCTTAGGAAAACAACAGAAAAGCAAATGGAAAGAGAGACCCAGAGGTTTTGTTTCCAGCTCTGCTAATAAGCCTCTAATTTGAACATCTGCTGCTGAAAACAGGGACATTCAAGAGGTTGTCCTGTTGCAAAAATAAGAATAATGAAAGGTGTTCTTCTGGATAATGATGGTGGAGTGGAACTGGTTTCACTCCAAAGGCTAGAAAGCTCTCAGACTGCAAAATGTTGGTGTTGGTTACAGATGGCAGCACAGCTGCTAAGAATAATGCTAAGGTGGATGATTAAAAAGCCCATATACATTTGGTTTGGTAGCAATACAGATGAAATGGATTTTCTCATCACGTTTGGCCATTGATCATAATTAACTGAGTTTTAATAAAATGTGCCAAGCCAAAGCAGTTCTAGAAGTAGAAGACCAGTTCTGAACCGCAGGCATTTAATGGATGGATCAGATTATTCTGCTTGGTGCCTTTTTTGCATGTTCTGCCCCACCCCTGCAACAGTCTGCAATATTTTAAATTTAATTTAGACATATTTTTGAAAAGAGGCTGTTCTTTTTTTCACAAAATAGGTGTTTTTGTATGTACCTTATGCCCAAATACACACTTTGTATATATATTTACCCTGAAAGATATATATTTTTCAGCATTTTTCAGCCAAGAAGTGCATCCTAGAAGAAACCTTCACTCCAGAGGAACAGCCAAACATACCTATAATGGGGGGTATCTTGGCTCAGAGTGGTTCTGCTCCCAAGGCCCTCTGGAATAGCCACATATTAATAGCTTTCTGAAAAATCAACAGGGTGGGGGACAGTCTAATCTCAGGGGGAAAGCTGTTTCAAAGACAGGGACCACAACGGAGAAGATGACCATCTCCCTGAAGATGACACAGGCATCTAGAGTAAGCCACAATCATGTCACATGCATCATGACATCATCACGCAAATGATCATGGTATGTTTGTGAACAAGCACTGTGTTGTAGTAGTTCTTCTCTCTTGTTTAAAATACTGCAGTGTGGTCTACATGGAGCTGCCCTTGAGAACCATCTGGAAGCTTCTGTTGGTCCAGAATGCACCATCCTGTGTAGTGACAGGAGCAACTAAGTATTCCTACGTAATACTTCTACTTGTGGAGTTGTACTAGTTACCAGTTACCTTCTGGGTGCCATTCAAGGTGCTGGGTGTCATTTTTAAAAATCTGTTTGTCTTAGGATCTGGGCCTCTACAGAACCCCCTATTCCCATGGGCTTCTGTCCATCCAGTAAGGTTTAGAAGAGTAGGGTCTCTTTGGGTCTCTTCCCCTAAAGAGTGTCATCTGTTCTGGACTGGTCCTGGGAAAAATAACCCTGTGGCACAGCATCTATGTATTAGCTTCTCATGTATTTGGCCCACTATATGCAGAGCAGATCCCTTTGTTTATCTACTTGAAGACAGATCAGGCCCAGTCTGAGATCAGCTTTATCACAGATACTTGCAGACGACACAGGATCACGTGATAAAGGAGGAAGTCCAGACACCAGCTGAGATTTCTCTCTCATAACAAGAGAAGGCAATAAGTGAATTCTTCAGAGTCTTATCTCAATAGCTACATTTATGCATCAGGTTAAGTCGAGTTTGTTTAAGCATGGATTGTGGAAAAAGCCACAACTGGTTGGGTTTGCAAAACACACTAAGACAAAATTCGTGGTTTGCTAACCATGCTGGTTGAGTTCATATAATACGAGCTAAGCAAAAAACTTGCTTTTCCTGCATGAGTGAAAGGTTCAGTTTAACAATGGAATGTGTGGTAGCCAAGACTAGTGTACATAGCAGAGCACTTTGAGGCTATCTATAGAATAAGCCATTAACTGTTAAACTCTATAGGAACATTTTTTGAAGGCAGTGGTATTCCTGTAGGAGGTGTCAAAAATCTCAATATGATGGCCATAATTGCATGATTGAAGCTGCACCATGAACCTTGGAATGTGTATAAAAAAAGATGTGCAGTCGTGGCCCCCCCCCTTTGACTTTTTTGACCCTCCACAAGGCTGCCCCTGTTTCTAGGGAAACCTCGTTATTTTATTATAAGTTCTGCTTAATGGTTAGAATTTGGGAATAGTTGCCGTGTGCTCAATATCTAGGACTGCCCTCCCCAATTATTCCACGTAAGCCAAACAGCCTGTGCATGGCATGAAGAGTTTTCATTGTATCACTTACCCATTAGGCAGTTTTCTGAGGACATAAAAAGCAGTATAGGAATGCCGGTACACCTGCAGAATGAAATCAAAATGAGAGAGGGAGAAAAAAAGGGGATTAGTAATGTCAAGACATGGATGATTGCTCAAAACCTAGTGTAAAAAAAAAAAAACCAAAAAAAACCCCCAGGTTCAGTTGCATTTATCAAGGGGGAAAAGACATAAAAACTCATTTTCTTCTGCTGTAGAAGATAGAAGGGTGAATTAATCCACCTTCTGCTGTTGTGAGATCTTTCCACCTTGCACCTGGCTGGAGGTTTGCTGAGTCCTGAGGCTCTGTTTCATTGCTATGGAGACCAGATCTTTGATGATATTGGGGCACAAGCACCCAGCAAGAGCTAAATTTGCAGTAACCAGTAATGAGGACACTGCAGTCTGCCAGAGGCAGCATTCACAGCTATAACTAGAGTCAGCAGGGAAATAGCCCATCGCACAGTCCTTATCCATTGTAAATACACCCAGGCATTAATTTGCTAACACCAGAGAAAAAGTCACAATGTCCTTTTCCTGTTGTTGAGTGAGAGTTTACTGTGTCAGCCCTCGTTCCTGAACTTTGGGTTTGAGCTTCCTGTTTACTGTGAGGCATACCAATTTATAGAAAGCCAGTGCATAAATCTTTGACCCAAGAAATCAAATCTGGCAAGTCTTGTGAGGATGCAATGAAAAGGAAGATGATATTAGCATTGGGAAGGGAGAGAAAATGCTGTCCACTCTGCCAACTAGATGTTCGTCCTCACTGAAGTCCTCGGGGAGAGACAAATCATTTGAAGGAGCTTATTCTATTCAAATAAATAATTTAAATATTAAACAATCAAAATTAATAAATAAATATCAAAGGATTTTTCACGTAGTTCGAAATAACCCATAAGAAACCTGTATTAGTCATGAACATTCTTATTATTATTTTAAAATGTGACTTTAATGGCACCTGGATTTTTATAGTTTTATGCAGGTGAACAACTATCGCTAATGACAATATCTCAGCATCTTCATTCCACATTTTCTGGGTTACTTGAATCCTTGTAATATCTGTAAGAATATCTGTAAGAGTCTATATTTTACCATGTTGTAGTCAGGAGTTTATTAGAAAGGCACTGTTGCTGTTACATTAAAAAAAATCCAAGATGGTAACTCTCGATGTTATGTGGATCGGGTTTTTCATTGACTTTGTCAAATATACAGGTATTCCTCAAATGGTTCTATAAAATTGCTTTGAGAGAGATCAGTCTCTGCTCTGCTGTCTTATATAGCCACAGTGACTTCTTCTTCCCATTCTCTAACAGGATGAAAATACACACTGAAGTGAATCACTGATTTGGAACTGCAGGGAGCAAATTAGCTCTCTCTAAAGAACGTCTGCGCAAGAGATGTTAGAATGTTGTCCATTTTCACTACTTTTAGTGTGCATCGTGCCAGAGCCTGTGGTCATGGAAACGCGCTCATGTTTAATTGCCACAGCACATAATCTTGACATTTGTTGCTAACAGTGCCACTGAACTATCTAGATTGCAAGAAATAATGTCAACATGTCCAGTTCTATGTGTTCTAAATGGACAACTAAAAAAACAAATCATCTTCTGGTAAATATCACAGTTCCAGACCTGAATTGTTCTGAAAAGAGATAAAGCTCTCAAGGTCTAGACAAAAGAGTGATGGAAAGGTTTATTACATTTTTATTTCCTCTCCTTGCCTTTGCACTTATGTACAAAGAAGGAGGCCTCATCAAACAACTGCATGGCCTCAACACAACTGGGGAATAAGTACAAATGATAAATCACCCCTTGACATAAAACCATTTATAGACTATGTCTCTGAGCCCAGACTAATTTAGACTTGGTTATCATGTTGCTATTTGGAAAAGATATTCAAAGCTGTGATGTGTCTAAACCTACAGATATCAGAATCATGCAGGCAAGGGTTTTTCCTATGACATGAAAGTTGAACTTTGAAGAAGCAGGATAGAAAGTTTATTGATGCTTTTGAGCTTTGGTGTTGGAGAAGACTCCTGAAAATACCATGGATAACCAAGAAAACAAATGGGTCACAGAACAAATCACTCCAGAGTTCTCACTTGAGGCACAAATGACCAGACTCAAATTACCATATTTTGGACACAATGTGTGAAGACCCAACTCTCTTGAGAAGTTCACAATGCTGGGCAAAGTGGAAGGAAAGAGAAGAAGAGGATGACCAGCAGCTAGGTGGACTGACTCAATGGACTAACAGTGGTGATGGGTGCACTGTTAGAAGATCTGAAAGACCAGGTTGGGGACAGATTGCCCTGAAAAAAGTTTGGTGTGGTCACTAAGAGTCAACACTGATTTGATGGCACATAATCAATCAGTGAATCAATCAAGTTGCTATAAGTGGCGTGCTTGCTGCCATCACTGTGCATTTACCTGTCAACACACAATATGTCCTAAGCACAAGCCCACAGAAGTCACATGTTATCATGCATTAACAATAAACACATAAACTTCCCATTTCCACCTAGTAAACTTCCAAAGATATGTTAGAAACCTTGGTCCCCTTTGAGCTCCATGCTAATTATTTGGGAATCATCTTAGAGTTGAGAATGTCCATCTCAGAGAAAAACTAGGTCTATGTAATGAATGACCATTTCAACACAAGCCAGAACTTAACAATTCAGAAGTAAGCTCCAGTGAATATAAAAGGATTTACTCCCAAGTAAATGAACCTAACATTTAAGCTTTACTTTGTTGTACAACCAGGTAGCTCTGATGTAATTATACTGTTTCATTTTATTTTTGCAGTCTTGAGCAGTCTTAACCAACTTGGCATTCTCCAGATGTGATGGATGAAAATACTCATTCAGAGAGAGAGCAAGCATTGATCCTACAGTGAATGATGGTGGTTGTAGTCCAACATACCAAGGGTGCCCCAGGTTGTGGAAAGTTGCATCATAATCAAGCCCTTATGGTGCAAGTTTGTTCTGGCTTGTGGCTTCAATCAATCAAACCTTCCATCTGTCCATCTGACCATCAGTAAGTCATTGGAGGAATTCATTTTCATTGCACAGTAACAGGTGTTGTTTGCTTCCATTCACTTTCATTTTTTTTAACCTGAAAGGATTGATTATCAATGAAAACCCCAGTTATGACACTGAGTAATGAACTAGAACTGATCTGCTTCTGAATTAGCTTTATTACTTGCCCAGATTCAGTGCAGAAGCAAGCCACAAATGTTCACAAGCTCCCATAAAATGAAACATTTCTTTCATTTTAATGGCATGGAGAAAAGAAAACCTGGATGGAAATACAGGAGCTTTGCAGGAATTCATAGCCTTGAGATGCTCCCTTCCCTTGTGACCTATGTGGATTATTTCTTCCTCTGCCTACAACCGTAAGATCATCGAAGAGGCCCAGCCCTGGATTTCCTTCCCCTTAGAATGGAGATCTGCTAAAGCCAATGGGACCAGGTGTGTGTAAGTCTTCCACAACTAATATCCTGCCTAATGACACATTTGTCTGGCACAAACCCTTTGTTTTTAGGAGATTAGGGGTTACAGGCCTATACTTGTAATAGCTGCTTGTTGCTATAAAATGATTCCTGCTTTATCCTTTGGTTCACTGTGTGTCCTTTATCACATTGTGTTAAGATGAAAAGTCACCTTCAAAGCATCCCTGAAGGACAAGCATAACATTTTGTAAGATGTCCTAAGGGCAGGACATCTACAATAGCAGTTCATTCTTCCTGCCTGATGCAGATATTCCTAAAGCTCTTTGTCTCCCACCTGCAAAGATAATTTTGAGGTGCCTCTGAAGGTCCTTCCCATGCTGCAGTTCAAACGGTAAGATTTCAAGGAGAAGGCGGCTTCATAATTTACCTTCAATTCTTGTCCCTATCCCCTAGAACTCAGATGAAGCTTGAGACCAAGCATTTCCTAATAGTGATGCAAAGCATTTATTTGACGTTGTCAATCCAGGAGATAATAAATGTTTTAATTATATATCACTCAGGCACACAAGCATACAATCCACCTAGCATTTTCTGTTGCTTTCAAAGTCAGGATAGATTAAAAAGCCAAATTAAGAGAACCAAAACACTTGTCTTATTCCATTTACCTTGAAATAAGCATAAGAATCATCTGGGAGAATATTAAATGTGCTGAAGAGGCGTTGGAATCACTACGGGAAATTATATTCACTTAACATCTTATGGATTCCATCCAATTATTTTACTTATTATGGTCCTCACCAATCACTTTAAAGCAGAGGAAAAGGTTAGGGGCTCCACTGTAATGTTCTGCACAACCTTTTGCCCTTTCTAAGTCACAGACTAATTTCTTACTGTGCTCTTTTTATATCAGCACAAATTATTTTCAAGTAAGCTGTTTCTTTGGCATTTATCAGCTTCAGTGTCTCCTCTTGATAATAGCAAACTGTGAGGTGATCTCTTACCACCTCTCATTACAAATAGGTTTTTCTACAATGCTCAGAGCAGATATTTGATGCCAATTAATTTTTTTCTCTCTGGAGCTGCGGAAAGGTATGTATTTTCTGGCTAAATCTGGAATATTTCCTATATATTTTACATGATTTCAATCTGTTCTTTCTACTGAAATACTTGCTCATTATAAAACCATCTCTACAGGTTTCTACTAAGCTGCATTATGCTGATGAATGATTCTGAAAGCTCAGGAGCACCAGGAGTAAAAGAACGATGACATTTTGCAACCCAGGTTGTCCCTTAGGATTTCACAAATGTTCTTACTTGCTTAGTTGCTACACAAATGCTTGAGATACATCAATGGCTAAAGTAATTTTGGTATGTCAGAGTGTGACAAAAACTTTGGCACAAGTTCTAGTCAACTAGAAATGCAGCAACCATTCTGAAATTGGACTGTCCTAAAGAGTTCACAACTTCTGAGAAAGAAAGTGGTTATTGTGGATAAAAATATCACCCTGCAATGATCCTCCTATAACAAGGAACCTGAGAAAATCTCTCCTGTTCTAAGAACTTCTCATCCAGAAGGAGAAGGAGAAGGAGAAGGA